ACTTTCTGTCTGGCTTTGCCACTGGCCACAAAGATCAAAGTATACAGGGACCTGGTCACTGGCAAAGTAGTCACCGATCATGCATTTGTTGAAGGAGGGGTTCCCTGCCAATCCCTTGCTATAACCCACTTTCATCTGTGCAGTGGACCAGCAATGCTCGGAAACACCTCTGGGAAAGGGCTCAGAGAGTCGTGGTTTTGATACTGAGCCATCTCAAAGGCCAAACAGTATTTACTTAGTTACTTATTTATAGTCAGGATTTCACTATTCAGCCCTGGCTGGCCTGGAGCTCCCTTTGGAGACCAGGTTGGGCTCCAGCTCACAGGAATCTGCCTGCGTCTGCCTCTATAAACCACCATACCTGCCGGGCGTTGGTGGCGCACGCCTTTAATCCCAGCACTCGGGAGGCAGAGGCAGGTGGATCTCTGAGTTCGAGGCCAGCCTGGTCTACAAGAGCTAGTTCCAGGACAGCCTCCAAAGCCACAGAGAAACCCTGTCTAGAAAAAGCCACCATACCCAGCAGATTTACAATTAAAAACAAAACATACAAAAAACTAAAAGTCTTATACATAAAAGAAAAATGACCGGCAAGGCGCTGGGGAGTTGGCTCAGAGGTTAAGTTATTTATTGCTCTTGCCGAGGACCTGAGTTAAATTCCCAGGACCAACTTGGTGGCTCACAACCATCTGTAACTCCAGTCCCAGGGGATCTGTTGGCCTCTACTTACCTCTTTGGCCACCAGGCACACATGTGGTGCATAAACATACACGTAGACAGAACACTCACACAGGTAAAATTAAAATGACCCTCCCCCCACCAAATAAAAATGGGCAAAGCTCATGCTCAGTGTGCATTGGTTTGGCTCGGCCTAGTCACGTCATCAGGTCTGCAAAGAACTTCAAAAACCGCTGTCCCTGCCCCTGGGTTGTCTGAGGATTAGAATCCAAGGGCAGAAAGGAGATGACAAAAGCCTTATCCAGGGACCTCTTGTCTTCTGGGGAGGAGAGTTCTTGAAACGGGGAGGTGCTAGAAGCGTGTTCTGAGAAGATTTCAGATTCCTTCATTAGACCTTGTAGCTATGCTACTGCACAGCCACGGGCGAGGACAGAGACTAGGCTACAGAGAAATTGTAAGTAGGTAAGACCTTGGCTTTCGTGTGAGAGATCTTTCATCTTATTTAGTGACTGCGGGAGTCATTTTCACTATGTGTGTGCAGGCTCGATTCGGTCTACCAGGTTGCCACCTCTAGGCTAGGCCCTGAAGAACCTGGCAAATCTGGGTCCCAGCTGATCCAAAGAGAGTGACTATGGCCTGTGAGGGGTCCGTGCATGGGACAAGCCTGATCTGACCTTGGTCTCTGCAGGCTTTTCTCCCCTAGATCAGGTGCCAAAAGCCTGGTCTCTAGAAAGACCCATCCTAGCGGCTTTGTAAATTGGTTCTATCTGTGGCACCAGCACCCCCTTGTGGACAACTTAAACTTAAACTCATACTTAAACACAAGTTGACGCCTACAAATCTAAGGAGTGACAGCTCAGAGTCTCAGGAGCTACCGTAAGGTGTCACTCCTAGTGAAACAGAAGCAATGTCTTCAGTAAGCAAAGCCTTGGAGGGTTAATGAGAAAACGATGAGGTAGAGGGAGGGGCAAGGAAGGTGAGTTGGGCTTTGTCATAACTCTTCTCTGGCAGTCAATTCTGGTTGCTGAAGCCTATGGACAGACCCGGAGGCATCCGGCCTGTTACCACCTCCAGAAAGGCTCTCAAAGCCTGGAGTGCATGAGTCATTTATCTCGGAACTTCCAGCCCTGTGCCTTCAGGTCTCCTGAGAAATCAGGTAGGTGGTTGTTCAGTCAGTGTTTGTGTTTGTGACCGAGTTTAATCCCACTTTCCAGGGCCATGCTCATTTATGGGGTTAAAGTCCATTGTGCCCTGTACTCTGGAAGCCGCCTGTTTGAGTATCTCCTCCTTAGCTTAAAAAAAAAAAAACAAAAATCACTTCCCATCCCTTTTGACCTTTTGGAAAAAGTCAAGGTTCACTTCTACTGTTTCCGAAGTGTTCACGAACATTCTAACAAGTGTTTTCTTCACTTCACACGCTTTGAGAAAACCCCTCTGGTCTCAGCATGAGCCCTGCTCTTTGATCAACACCAGTTCTTGCTGCATTCCTTCCCAGTTGCTGGCTCACCTCCTTGCAGTTGTGTGCAAGTCTGTGTGCTTTGTCTCCAAAGTGAACTTCATAAGTTATACCGTCTGTTTTCATGGTGCTTCCTGAAGGCCAGACGTCTGCCCAGCATGTGTGCTGGCGATGGATACTCAACTCACATGTATGCCTTGAGTTCTCATGTCCACTGCTAATGTATTTTTTTCTGTTTTTTTTGTTTGTTTGTTTATTTTGTTTTTGACGGGGTTTGTGCAGCCCTGGCTGTCCTGGAAACTCGCCCTAAAGACCAGGATGGCCTCAAACTCAGAGATTCATTTCCCAAGTGCTGGGATTACAGGCGTGTACCACCACAGCTTGGCTTATTCTTTTTTTTTTTTTTTAACTTTATTTATGTGCATGTATGTATGAGCACCATGTGTGCAGTACCTGTAGAGGCCAGAGGAGGCAGAAGAGGGCACTGGATCTCCAGAAACAGTTGTGAGCCACCTGATTTGGGTGAGAGTGGTTGAACCTGGTCCTTCCTAAGAGCAGCAAGCGCTCTTAACTGCTGAGCCGTCCATCTTTGCAGCCCTCTCAGCAGCACCCATGCCATTGTCCATCCCACAGCCCCAGAGTGAAAACGACACGGCCTCCTATGAAGTGGTGAGATGCTTGCTTCATGAAAAGATGTTAGGAACTCCGCTGCTAAGCTAACTGCAGTTCTTATTTTGTTGCTACCCCTGTGCACTCACGGATGTTTTGGGTGTCTAAAAAGTATCTTGAAATACAAAAGCAAGCCTTGTGTAGTAGCGCACGCCTTTAACCACCTCACTGGAGGGGCAGAGGCAGGCAAAGCTCCATGAGTTTGAAGCCAGCTTGGTCTACACTGTGAGTTCCAGGACAGTCAGGGCTAAATAATAAAATCCCTGACTCAAAACAAACAAACAAAAACAAAAAAGAAATACAAAGGGCCGAAGAGATGGCTCAGGTGTTCTCTTCTGGAGGACCTAGGTTAAGTTCTCAGCTCACACATGGTGGCTCACAACCATCTGCAACTCCAGTTCCAGGGGACCACAGCCCTCTTCTGGCCTCTGTAGGCACCACATGTATATGGTGCAGGCAAAACCCCATATACATTTTTTTTTATAAAGAAAGAATACAAGAGCACTCGTTAGTAAGATTGGAAGATTCTAGTCTTCACCTTGGTCAGAAGTCTGAGGTTTTCCAGGTGTTAAGCTGATAAGAGCTTGTCCGGGGCAGTGGGAGGCTTCCCCAGCAGCTCTGTAGACTGTTCATGGCAGTGGGTGATTTCCCAAGAGCTATGGAGAACGTTGCACTTGCTTTATTGGTTTTGTCTTTCTCTAAACACCTATTGCTCTGAAAGAAAGCCAACGATGCTACCAAATGGCCCATGAACTACAGCCACTGGCAGACACAACACCAGTACTTCTGAGCGGCAGATGGGTGGAGAGAGGGAACTCACCTCACAATGGGTCCCGTAGAAGTGAACTCCAAGAATGGTTATGAATGCTCACACAAGACTGTAGAGACTCCCAGATGTCAACGGACTTAAGAAAACCAGTACCCCTGCTATCTCTAGAAAGAGTAGATGTCAAGGGAAATGGGGCAGAAGAGAACTTGTAGCATCCTTGCAGCCATCACACTGCTGGGAGTTCAGTATAAAATTCCACGGGTTAGAAACTTAATTCTCAAATTGATACATTCATGCTATTTGGACATGTGACCCATGGGAAAATTTTAGGATCTAATTAAATCCTGCAGCTCCATCAAGTGTATTTGTTGATGGCTTCTTAAAGCTGGAGCCAATCATGGGTCTGATGGCCCAGCCAAGTTTCAAAGCAGAATGGCACAGTGTAGGGCTCTTCAGGAGGCCCAAACTGGAGTGTTTGCTGTCTTACCATGTGGTACCCTACACTGAAGAGACAGCAAAGGCAGCCCTCACCCATTGGTGAGCACATACATACTCACAGATGTCCCAGTTTTCTCTTCCTCAAAACCCAGATTCAAGTCTTTTGTTACAGCAGTAGTAAATGTAAGTTCTAGACATCGGTAAGAGCATCTTACCCGGGACTTGTCTGATGACCAGTTTTAATCTTACTGTTTACAATTTAGGTCAGAAAGAAACTGGGAAATCATCTTCCTTTGAAAGAGCAGGCAATGACAGGGAAAATGAATTTCTATGGTAATATCAAAACAGTCGTTAGGCTTCGTGCTCTACATGCCCATCCTTCCTAGGACACCATTCTCCTAACTGGCTTGTCCAAGACTGGTGAGGACCAGGACCTGACAATCGTCCATGTTAAGGTGATAACTGGCTATCCCATCTGCCAGGCTTTACCTCACCAGCCTTCACCAAGGCATTTGAGGACTAGGATTCAAATGATAGACTCAGAGAGGGCCAGACATTGTATGGGAACTTCTAGGAACATGAGACAGAAGCCACATGGCTGAGGCTGGGCATCCCTGGAGACACCCCAGAATCTAGAGATGGCACTGGGTTTCTGGCACCCATACCACGAGGCACTCACTCACAGGCAAGAGAGTGAGTATTTGACCAAAGTGAGGGGCTGTCATGGAAGGCCTGTCATACCATGATTACCTCAGCCACCTCATGAAGAGACTGGGCTGTTTCTACTTGTATCTGGCTATATTTAAGGTTCAGAGGAGAGCAGGGGGAGTCAACAATTCCCTGAATTGTGAAGACATAGATGTGATTTCTCTTCTGGCTTATGATTTGTATTTTATATGGTTACCAACTGTTGCCAACAGAGTTCTGTCTCAGGACAGGTGTATTCCAGTCTGAGGATCACCAGTCTAGAAATAAGTCAACAATGGCCAGACATTTTAGGTCAAAGTGAGTTTATTGTCCAAATAGCATAACCTAATTGCATTCAAAACCACTTACAACTCCATCCTCAAATCCGACTTCAAACTAGTCAGAACACGTTATTCTTTTAAGATCACATCAAAACTTAACAGCTGACTATGTGACATCGTCATCATGGTCAATACAATGTGTCCCCCCACCCCACCCCGGATTTCCTAAAGACCTTTTTTTTTTGTTTTTATTTTTGTTCATACTGATCATGCTACTTTAGCATTTTCTAGTATCCCAACCATAAAAACCACCCACACCTGTTATAGAGTACACTGTGAGAGAATAACATTGATTTCATATGGTATCACACTCTTAAAGCAAATTAAAAAAGAAAAAAAAGAAAGAAAGAAAATAATCCAAGACAAGAGATCGAAACTGATAGATCTGAGGTACATGGCAGAAGGATAATAATGGAGACAATTCAATGGCCTGGTGACTTGCTGGGGACACACAAGATGATCAGCCTAAGAATGACAGCCAATGAAACTTAAGAGAACTTTTTAATGTGTGTGTGTGTGTGTGTGTGTTTTTGTTTGTTTGTTTTGTTTTGTTTTTTGTCAAAGATAGGCACCTGTTGAAATGGAGTGGCTACTGTAATGGCTACGGTCAGTAAGGCACTTCTCCCCCACAAGTGGGCTGCAGGCAAAGTCTGCAGCTCCATCAAGTGTATTTGTTGATGGCTTCTTAAAGCTGGAGCCAATCATGGGTCTGATGGCCCAGGCAAGTTTCAAAGCAGAATGGCACAGGTTCTGGCTCAAGCGCCTCTTCTGTTTAGACTCTAGAATCATCAAAGGCCACATGTGGTAAGGAAGTCCCAACACCTCCTGGATCTTCCTACCTGATTTTGTACAAATGGATGTGTGAGCTGCAGTTGTTCACAACCACCCAGAGTCTGCACCGATAAAAGCTTGTGTGCAATGTGAACCTATGGCGGGCCTTGTTGACTTACGGGGACTTCACTGACTTGGTATTCATTTCCCTTTTAAAGCTATTCCCAAGGTTTGACTGTCTAAGATAAGCAAAGAGGAACCCTTTGGGCTTAGAAGTCAGCTGCTTACTTAAGACTTCTTATTGCTACCTCCAGTTTCCGCACCACCGGTATACCCTCTTGAACTAGAAAATCAGGATTTACAGGACATAAGGTACAAGTGTGATCCTCCCAGTCCTGTCCCCACAGCCCACCCACGTAGAGAAAGCTCATCTGCTCTCTTTGTGAAAGCCATCCAATCTTAGTCTGTTGGTCCTACAGCTCTCAAGGCACAGAATGGTAGGTCCCCCAAAGAGCTAGACTATAAGAAAACTATTAAGCTCCCTCTGAGTGGTCACTTATCCTGCTAGCAACAGAAGGGGATCCAGGACAGCTACATATACTCCCAGCCTGTCTAGCTGCTAGGGGAGTCTATCTTGGTAGGCACACAACTTGCCCTAGCCGCCTCCAAGATGTGCCCTGCTCTTCTGTGGCATCCTGGGGACAGTTCAAACCAAAGCAACTTCTAAACGCTATCCCTTCTAGAAGGAGCTAGCTACTCAGCACAGGTGGATGGTCAGCCTTTGTCCTCTCACAGGCTGTCTGGTAATTAAGGGACTGTTAGGAATCTCCTAATGCTTAGCATGTTATTTTTTGGCATACTAGGGTTTTCTCCCCCTTAGGATTTGGTCAAAACAGGGAAGGACCAAAATTTGGCAGGCTTGGGGAACAACTTAGCCCCCACAGATGGAGAAAGAACAAACAACAATGATGACAAAAGAAAAACAAGACAAAATGAAAAACAAAACAAAACAAAAAACCACCAAGAGCTCATTAACAAAGGCAGAAAAAGACCAGAGTCTGCAATCCCTTTTGTAGGATGTGAAGGGGGAGCAAGCTGAAATCCCCAGGGTTATTTATACCCTCTGGGACAAAAATACTACCAAGGAGATCCAAATCTAAGCAGAGGGTATCGGCCACCAAAGAATCCAGGCTCCCTTCCCTTGCATAAGCAAAGAGGAGGCAGAACAGCCACACTGCACACCTCAACACACAAGCTAGGAGGATGGCAGAAAGTGTCTCCGCCATCCATCCCAGGTAAGAGGACTGGAGGGGCAGACAGCAGCCTGCTTCTTCCCTGCTGTCAGCTTCCTTCATTCTGTGTTCCTGTTAGCCTCCAAGGTTGCTCGTGCCTTGTGTAACTCACCAGGCACCCCAGTTACCCAAGAACTAAAGAGACCATGTGTGCCAGGTTCTTAAAGACCAGGGGAGTGGGCTGTGCAATGTGGATCAACACTGGATCAACGCTGGCTAGCTGCAGGCCTCTCTCCTTTCCCCCTACCCTACTTCCCGATTCATCACCCATGGTTCCACCACAAACTCCCTAGAATTTTAGGGTCATGCTAACTTTTACACCGAGTCCTGATCCTTTCTAAATACACTCGAGACCAGAGGAACGGCCTCTCGCTCCCTTTCAACATGCATCCCAAACTCATTCAACCTGCGCTTTCTATCTGGCCCACTCAATGGGATTCAAAACCTGAAGCCGTTCAACGCCACCCACAGACGCCGTGTCCCTTTCTCAGCACCTGCCTGCCACGGTGGAGGAGTGAGAAATGTGTGCTGCAGACTCAGTCCTAGGAAGACTGTCCTAAGTTGGGGTGTCCTAAGTGTCAAGAAGTAAACTGGTCAACTTCCATGGTGAAGGGGCACTATAAAGAAGAAAGTCCTGTTTCTGATGGGTGTGTGTGTGTGTGTGTGTGTGTGTGTGTGTGTGTGTGTGTGTCTCCTAACAGTCTGCCCGAATTCTTGATTGCTGATTCCGGTGACTGCATGCAAATCAGGCTTAGCTAGTTCACTGTGTTTGCTGAGCATCTGCCTTGTACGGAGGAGCCCTTCCTTCAGCGTGCTCTTTTACCATGAGCAGGGAGCCTGAGTCAAAGGGGGAGCCTGGTGACCTTCGAGACAGGAAAGATCCCTTCTACCTTCTACCTAGGAGGGTGCCCAGCTTCTGCCTGCCCTCGCTCTGTGCCTCCTGGTAGCGGCCTTCCAAACAGAAACTGTGTAGCTATGAGGTATCATGAAAACAAAAATGTACATTGTTATCATTATTGATTTTGTCCAGTAAACCTGAGGTAAATAATACTCTCTTTGAAGGATGTGATCAGAGGAGGGGAAAAAGAGCCATGAAAGGAAAGGAACAAAACAAGATGAAATATAACTCATCAATATTGCTACCAGAAGAAAACGAACCAAGGAAAAGCTTTTCCAGTACAAAGAACTCATCTCAACCGTCTACTTCCGGGACTTGAAATTTAAGCAGTAAAATAATATATTATAACAATGTTTCTAAAATAGCAGCACACCGTGAAACATTACAGCTAGGTACTGTTAATGTGAATAGGGATGAATGATCTCAGCTTAGCAGCGAAAAATAATAATAAAAAACAGAACAAAAGGAGACAAAAGATAAGAGACCCTAGATGTTTCTGTCTTCAACCCTCACACAATGACACAAGGCAGAACCTGTGTGTAAAATTAATTCTTCAAACCACCCCTGTTCAGATCTTTTCTCTTAAAAAAAAAAAGGCAAATATTTTAACAAATAGCTTCATTATCTGTCAATTAACAGCTGTGGCTCCAACTTCTGTTTACTGACTGCCTCAAAGAAGTGGGAGAAGAAAAATTCAAGTACAATGAATACAACTTTGCAGTAAAATTAACAAACAAACAAACGGGGGGGAAAAAAAAAACGGAAAAGGGAGCAAAATGCCGCACTCTGATGTTTCTTTCCATGTCCAAAGGAGAAAAATACAGATGGAATTCAATCCTTCTATGCCATCAGAATGGTTTAGGACCTTTGTTTTTAGGCTGGGATGGGAATGTCAGTGGATGGATCTCTTAGTCCTGGTAGGGACACCAGAGCTAGGTACCAGAACATCGGACTCCGGAAATGAACTCCGGAAATAACGGGAAGGGGACAGGAAGGGGAGGGGCAAAGCAGGAAGGAGTATTCAACATGATTGCATAAACCATCCCATCTACATCCCCACCCCCTCATACTGGAACAATTTTTCAAAGTGCTTTTCTAATGGAATGGTTTATAGCAATGTTAAACTGTGGACCAGAAATGCCAATCAGCACCAAAAATTAAGTTGTTATTTCCTAATAAGGGATTAAAGATCACCTCCCCCTCTTCTGTTACATAAGAAAAGCTTTGTTTCGGATTCTGCTTGTGGTCTCCATCTGCCCCCATTCAGATGAGTTTGGTCAGGGCTCATAGCCAATTCCCTCCATTAGATAACAGTAGGGTACGCCTACAATGAACCAGGTTTGGAGGAAGAAGCACAAACTCACCAAATATGAGACTTAGAAGCCAATCACCTGTGTCCAACTGGCAAGAGACATATACATCCCTTAGATAGCAGCTACTGTAGACAGCAAGAGTATGCAACGTAGAAACCCCATGCTAGGTCTGGGTAACACGTGGTGTGGCATCAAGGCGCTTCTTACATCCAAAATGGTTCAGTCACGTGGACAGGTGGTTCTGTGCAACCGCCCCAGCCTGTCCCTTCTTGCTTCTGATTCCTTCTTGGGTTCACCGCTTTGCAACCTAATCATGCCTTCCTGGCATCCATGGCTCCTTGCAATTCTACTAAAAGGGGCATATGGACTAGTTCACAAGCACAAAAGACAGTGTCCTCTAATTTGTTCCCATATTGCAGGTACACATAATCTCGAGCTAGTCTGAGAGTTCTCCCGTATCTCACCATGACTTTTGCATCGTCAAACAACTGTTCTCACAAACAAGGGGTCCCCTCATGCTGTACTTTGAACAGGTACCACATGGGTCTCAACGATAGGGCCTTTTTCCTCTCACTTCTAAAAGATCTTTAAATACGATCTAGGTGGGGGCAGATTTTTTTTTTTTAAGTTTCACCCTAAAACACAAAGAACAAAACATAACTAGAGAGAGAAGGAGCGAGCAGATGATGAATTACGCCTCTCTCTTGCGGGCCTGAACGGCATCCTCACAGGTCAACATCCCGAACATCTGTAGGGGTGGTGGCTTGGTCCAGATCTTCCACAGACTTGGATCCATTATGCTGCTCTTGACGGAACTGCTGCAGGCTGTTGAGCAGCACAGCTTCAATCTGCTCCTGGCAGGCTTTGAGACAATCCTAGAGGAGGGAGGGCCAGACCATTAGCATATATATACACTTGCACAAAACTTCTCCCAGAGACAGACACCTTCCAACTTGTGTCACCCCACACTCAATGTGAAAGAAAAGGAGAGATGTTCTCAGATGCCAGAGAAGCTCACTACATAAAGTGGGGTCCATGGACGGGCAGTATCAGCACCAGCTGGCAACTGAGCCAACAGGAACTGGCATTTCAGCTGAAGCCCAGGCATTTCCTATTCTAAAGCATATGGAGCAGAAGGTGATCCAGCAAAACAAACAAACAAACAAACAAAACAAACAAACTAACAAACAAAAATGCCTTGCCAGGGCATCAAGGGGCCAACTGTAGGTTTTCTGTATGGGAAAGATAGGAGGTGGCACAGAGGGATTTGGTTCCTAAAAGGTGTCACACTGTTAGCCAAACCAGCAACCAATGCATACGTAACAAGGAAGATGCTTAACTATTTAAAGTGTCTGAAACTAAAAATCCCTGAGTTTTCTGCTCATTTACCAGCCTTGAAGTTTTTTTTTTTTTTTTTTTTTTTTTTTTTTTTTTCACAAAAACACAATGCAGAATGTTTACAAACCTCAGGACGCTCAAGCTTGTCCAATTTGGGAATAAGCAAGAATTGGCATAGTTGCCTTTAATAGTCTATATTTGGTAGGGAAAATCCAGAGCGAGCTGCCCCAGGCAAAAGTGTCTATTAGCTGGGAGACATGGAATGTGAGGGCAAGTCACGCTGTCACTGGGATGGGACTATGGATCAGGCTAGAAGATTGGGGGGTGGGGTCAAGCTAAGGAAACTGCTCTTAGTCGGGATTTTTCACCTTAGCCTCCTGGGTCTGCCTCCCTGTCCTGTGAAATGGCCCTATACATACAGAAACTGTGCTAAATTGGATCTCCCCCATGCCTGCCCACAGTGTAATACACATGGCCCCTCTGTTTATTTCACTGTGCAGATCTTACCACCTAGAGGTTGCTATTTTTCCAAGCACAAAGGCATTATATTTATTTTCCAAAGACCTAAAATAAAGTTGGCACTAACTACCAAGGAGTGAAGTTTCCATTCCCTCCCACCTCCATTTTTATTTCCTGTCTCTCATCGGCTCCATGTTTCAAACTTTAGCTTGAAGATGAGGAGTGACAGCAGACTAAGGGCAAAGGTCAGAGGGGAAATGTTCCCCTAACATAAGAATGATGGGGAAAAGGAGGTGGTGTTTGCTGCTCACTCGCACTGGCAGGGCATGGCTCCAGTAGTCAACTCCAACCTGTTTCTTCATCTACAAAAAATAAAGTGCTAAGTAGCAGATCAGTAAGTGATCCTTGTTTATTGTGTGTGTGTGTGTGTGTGTGTGTGTGTGTGTGTGTGTGTGTGTGTGTGTGTGTGTCAAAGACTCTATCTGTCCTGGAATCTGAAAGAATCCTTTGGGCTTTAATCAAGTGATCCTCCTGCCTCGGTCTACTGAGTAGCCGGGACTGCAGGCACACAAACATGCCCATCTTAGATTTCTTCAAAGGAAGGTATGGATCAGCAATTACTTAAGACAGGGATGTGTCACAGGCCTGGTCCTAGAGATAGTGCAGACCTGCTCCGGCGTCATCAAGCCGATTTCAACAATGCCAAATGAGGGACTCGTATGCCAAGGATCTAACGTCTCTCATCCTGATCTGTGGGCAAGATCATCTGTGTTGGCACATGTACCCCATCATCGTCATGACCAATGTACATCTCCATGGTACCCGTGTATGAATCAGGCCAGATGGTCCTCTGAGGAGATCAGCCAGCAGAGAGCTTAAGGGTTTGGCTTTAGGATCTGCAGTGCCCCGACTCTTCCTACTAGTAAGCCTTCCCTTCTAGCTGCCCGAGAACTTTAAAGGGATGGTTCTGAGAAACCCCTACAGGGAAGACAGGACATCTGGCAGTCATTTCTACCAGACTTTCAGAGCCAAGGAAGGGCTCAAAATGATGTAAGCGAGATGTGACATCCATTCCAGCCAGGGCAGGCTCACAGGCTCTTCTAAGCAACAGAGGAAGATTCAAAGATTTTTTTTATAGAAAATGTACACTCTTCTTTCCAATGTTAATTGAAAGCCAAGTCAGATGACCCCTGACCATTAGTATCTCTCACCTGGAGAAGAGAACAAAAACTAATGTAGTTAGTTAGCTGAGGAAAAATGGCTGAACCTCTCCACCCACGGCTCACACACTAGACTGATAAACCCATCTGAGGGCTCAAGCAGGTGGATATCTCAAAGCCATGAGCCTGTCCTGCATGAACTATGGAGAAATCTGCACTGTTCTTTCCATCATCAATCAATCCCAGTAGAATAACATCCTCCCTCAGCTTTGTAGGAGCCCTTCTTGAGCCCAACAAGGCAAATGAACTTCACATGAGCTGGCAGCAAGCGAAGAAGACGCCATTGCAGGAGAGTCGAGATCTACAGTGAGCAGCATATAAGCTGCGGGGGTAGCAGGGGTAAGGGTGGGTGGTGACCTAGCAGACAGAAGAGCCCTACTACAGCCCAGCCACACAGCTTGTGTGGAGTTCAGAGCAATTCCAAATGGACAGGACTGACAAATGTATCTTAATAAATGATCAGAGTATCAGCAACTCTGCAGAGACCAAACCGGGAATTGGAGCTGGGAAATGTGAGCTGCTTGTCTCTGAATGACAGCAGAAAATCCACACAAGTAGACAATTTGAGAACTTTCTCTTTCTAAGTTCTCTTCTTCTTTCAGGATGTAAGGAAGGGCATAATGGACAGAGATTCTCCAGAGGGGAAGAGCCAGGCCAAGTGTGTGTATGTGTGTGTGTGTGTCTGTATATTTATATGTGTGTCTCTGTGTCTGCGTGTGTATCTGTGTGTCTCTGTGTGTGTGTGGGTGTGTCTCTGAGTGTATGTATCTGTGTCTGTGTGTCTGTGTGTCTGTGTGTGTGTGTGTGTGTGTATTTATATGTGTGTCTCTGTGTCTGCGTGTGTATCTGTGTGTCTCTGTGTGTGTGTG